CGGTGCTTCAGATACCTGCTCAGAGGCTGGAAGGTGCCAGAAATGGGGTTCTGTGTCCCCAGTTCTCCTGTTTCCACCTCATCAGTCTCACTTCTGCTCTCATCCTTTAAATATTGGTTTTCCATATAGGATTCTAACTGAAAAACGTGTTCCAGTACTTTAAAAAGTTTTAAAACCTCTAAACCCAGTGTTCCCTAAGGACTCTTCCAACCTGAAATCTCTGACTTTGATATTCCATGCTTCACAGAGGACATGAATTCATGCTGGTGGCCACCCTGATCTGAGCCAGCATAAGAAGGCCTTTTATTTGTGAAGTCAAAGTTAAAAGATTGGGGGGGGGTGTGTGTGTGTGTGAGAGAGAGAGACAAGAGTTGAAGTGAATCAAAGCCCTCACATGCTTCTTGTTACCAGATTGTAACGATTGCCGCCACTTTTTTTTGTTTTTTGTTTTTTTTTTGAGACGGAGTCTCGCTCTGTTGCCCAGGCTGGAGTGCAGTGGCTCGATCTCCACTCACTGCAAGCTCCGCCTCCCAGGTTCACGCCATTCTCCTGCCTCAGACTCCCGAGTAGCTGGGACTACAGGCACCCACCACCACGCCTGGCTAGTTTTTTGTATTTTTTAAGTAGAGATGGGGTTTCATCATGTTAGCCAGGATGGTCTTGATCTCCTGACCTTGTGATCCGCCCGTCTCGGCCTCCCAAAGTGCTGGGATCACAGGCTTGAGCAACCGTGCCCGGCCAGTTGCCGCCACTTTTTAAAGGAAAGAGTGGAAAGGGCTTTTCAAAAAAAAACTTTTATTTACCCAACAGTAACAGTGCCACGTTTTATAGAGTTACCAGCAGAATACCTTATAGAAAATCCTTTTATCTGATTCTACCACCAGATAGCACCTTGTTTGATCTTTCCGAGTTCTCCCATTTTATTTTCCTTATCCATTTTGGTCCTCATTTTCTTCAAGAGTATAAACTGGCAATGCTTCATTGTTTCCATTCAGAGAGACAGATTTCAAATGGAAAGTATTGCATCTGATTTCAGGTAGTGTGTGTGTTTTGCGGTTCTTTATGAAAAGAACTTAAGGCCGGGCACAGTGGCTCACACCTGGAATCTCAGCACTTCAGGAGGCTGAGGCGGGTGGATCATTTGAGGTCATGAGTTTTTGAGATCAACCTTGCCAACATAGTGAAACCCCATCTCTACTAAAATACAAAAATTAGCCAGGCATGGTGATGCATGCCTGTAGTCCCAGCTACTCAGGAGGCTGAGGCAGGAGAATCGCTTGAACTGGGAAGGCAGAGGTTGCCAGTGAGCTGAGATCATGCCATTGTACTCCAACCTGGGTGACAGAGCAAGACTCCATCTCAAGCAAATGACAAAAAAAAATAGAGCTTAAAATTCCTGTAAAACTCTTGTAAGTCATTCCTCCTCCTTATTTGCAATGTGATTTGAACAAGGTCTTATTGGATTTTTTGTTTCCCCTTAGCTTAGGGAAAATGACAATACAGTCATGTGCAAAATGTTAGTGGAAAAGGAAGAAATGATGGTGTTTTGGGAGGTGGAAAGCATTGGCAGAGGTAATGCAAATGATGAGACAGGAAATGCAAATGATGGGATAGGAAATGCTAATGATGAGACAGAAAATGCAAATGATGGGATAGGAAATGCTAATGATGAGACAGAAAATGCAAATGATGAGACAGGAAATGCAAACGATGAGACAGGAAGTGCAAACGATGAGACAGGAAATGCAAATAATGAGACAGGAAAATTCAAGTAGAGCCTTGAAAACAGGGAAAATGTCCTATTCATCTTTCTATTTGTGTCCCGTAAGATATTTAGAAAACAGTCTCAGTGCTAATGAACATCATACTTATACAGCAATGATTTGTTAAACTTTCTCCTGCATAACCTTCTACTTACCTACTTCATCCCTATAACAAAGAGGAGGTATAGACACCTCCCAAGGATGAAAAACCAGTACAAAATTTAACTGCATAAATTTGAAGGAAGCTCTTGATGTTTTGTAGGTGAGTGCGGTGTAAACACTTTCTATCACACCTATGATTCCCTCCCCTTTCTCTCCTGAAAACTCAATATTCTCTCTCATTTGGAATTGATTCTTACTCAAGTACTCAAAAACTGTCTCTTTATAGAGATAAATTGACCTGAGTTTGAATCTATCTATTTCTTAGCTTTTGAATATGAGTATATTGCAGGGATTATACCTACAAAGACATAAGTTGGCTAATTGGTTATTTAGATTATAAGTTGGTGGGGGTGAGGGGTTTGCAAGATTTATATTTTGAAAAGTACACTAGCTATAGTGTGAACAAGTTGGAAGGAAGTCAAAGACGCAGGATGAAGTTAGAAATTTATTGCAGTGGTCCAGGTAAGAAATTATGATAGTTTGAATTAGCGAGGTGGCAGTGATGAAAGAAGAAGATGGATGGAATTGGGGTGTATTTAGGAAGTGAAAAATAATGTGATTTGATGATGAATCACACGTGAAAAATGAAGAAGAAGGTGGTGTTAAGGCTGACTCTCTGATTTCAGTCTTGTGCAATTAACTGTATACATAATGTCGTTCTCTAAGATCTTTAGAGTGGACTGAGTTTAGAGGAAAGGGGAGAAGATAGAAGATCAGGAGTTTAGAAGAAAGAGAAGAAGATCGGCGTTTTGCCATAGTTAGGGAGGGTCCTACTGACATCTAATGGGTAGAGGTCAGGGATGATGCTTAACACCCTACATTGCACAGGACAGCCCCTACAACAGAGAATTGTCAATAGTGCTGGTCAGGCATGGTGACTCATGCCTGCAATCCCAACACTTTGGGAGGCTGAGGCGGGCAGATCATGAGATCAGGGATTCGAGACCAGCCTGACCAACATGGTGAAACCCCATCTCTACTAAAAATACAAAAATTAGCCGGGTGTGGTGGCGCACGCCTGTAATCCCAGCTACTCAGGAGGCTGATGCAGGAGATTGGCTTGAACCCCGGGAGGCAGAGATTACAGTGAGCTGAGATTGTGCCACTGCACTCCAGCTTGAGTGACAGAGCAAGACTCCATCACTAAAAAAAAACCGTCAATAGTGCCATGATTGGAAAACCTTTCCACAAAGGAATACAAAGCACTGGAATTAGTAACTATTCATGCAGTAGAATTTTTTATAATATCTCTCCATTTATTTTTATTTTCTTTTATTTATTAGTTTTTGATTGACAAAAAAATGTATTTATTATTCACAACATGTTGCTTTGAAACTTGTACACATTGTGGAATGGCTGCATTGAGCTGAGTAACATATGCATTACCTCACACACTAATCATTTTTGTTATGAGAACACTTAATATCTACTCTCTTGGCAATGTTCAAGAATGCAATACATTGTTATTAACTATAGTCCCCATGTTTTACAATAGCTCTCTTGAACTTATTCCTCCTAACTGAAATGTTGTGTCCTTTGACCAACATCTTCCCAACCCTCCAACTCCTTAAGGCCCCGGTAACCACCATGCTACTTCCTGCTTCTATGAGTTCTTTTTTACACTCCACATGTAAGTGAGACCATGTAGTATTTTTCTTTCTGTGTCTGCTTTATTTCATTTTCCATAACGTCCTCTAGTTTCATCCATGTTGTCCGAAATGACAGAATTTCCTCCTTTTTTTTTTGAAAGCTGAATATAATTTTTTAAATACTTACAAGTTGAAGCAATTGATGAGATTGAAAAGAGATTGGATATTCGGGAGATACAGTGCCACCCAGATTATAAGATTCCTGCGAAGGAGAAAGTAGATAGGGTCTAAAGCACATGTAAGGAGTTGATCTCTTTCAGAAAGAGAAACAGCTGCTCTATGGAATAGGCAGGAAGGAGGACCAGATATGTACAGATGCTGTTGTGTTAGTGAGTTTGGCAGCAGGATTTGGGAGTGTGGAGTTGGGGAGTGGCCATATGTGACGGTGTCTATTATCTCTGTGAAATATGAAATAAAGACATCCATTGATGGGTAGGAAAGTTGGGTGTTTAAGGAAGCTAGATAAGTTCTAGAATGGTCATTGTGGATTGCTGGACTGTAGGTTGACCAGAAATGTCTGAAGGATTCTGGCACTGCGGTGCCCATTCAGAATGGATTCTCATGAATGTATGATGGTAGAATTTGCTCTGTTGTGTTTTTCTCCAGCTGCTTAAATGTAAGAAGAGAGACAGCACACAATGTGGGTTGCTCTAGAAATGGACTTCAGCCAAATGGGGTCTGACAAAAGCCCGAAGGGGCGAGGGAGTTTAGGATTTTGGCAGTAGTATCACTGAAAAAATGGACTCTGAAATCTAACCTGGATAGGTAGAAAACTGAAGAAAGGGGAGGGCTGAAGGATGGGGAAAATTGAAGATAAAGAAGCTAGAGGTCGCAATGAAATCAAGATCTATTTCAGTGGTTGCAATTAAAAAGCCAAGATGGTGGCCAGGCGCAGTGGCTCATATCTGTAATCCCAGCACTTTGGGAGGCTGAGGCAATTGGGGAGGCTGAGGCTGTTGGGTCACCTGAGGTCAGGAGTTCAACACCAGCCTGGCCAACATGGCAAAACCCTGTCTCTATTAAAAATACAAAAATTAGCCAGGCATGGTGGTGGGTGCCTGTAATCCCAGCTACTTGGGAGGCTGAGGCTGGAGAATCACTTGAACCTGGGAGGCAGAGGTTATAGTGAGCTGAGATCACGCCACAGCACTCTAACCTGGGCCAACAGAGTGAGACTCTGTCTCAAAAAAAAAAAAATACATAAATACATAAATAAAAATAAAGCCAAGAAGGAAAAGAAGGAAGTTGTGGTCAGAAATGGGGTGCCTTGCATTAATGATCTGGAGGAGATGCTATGATACAGAGTGGATGAGGAGTCACAGCAGTCTCTGGAGATGAGAAGATTAAAGACCAAAAACTTCCATGTGTTACATAAAGTATGATTGTTACATGGAATTTATTTTCTTTGCTTTTTTTTTTTTTTTTAAGTAATTTAGAAAGGATACATCCTGTTTGTATCTCCAGTTATCTTTATCAAGAGTTAAATAATATCCCTCTTGGGAACAATGAGGAAATAAGTGTTTTCTCCTACCATTCTATCTCCTTCGTTTCTATTTTTGTATGGCAAAACATTAGGCTCAAATTATTATAATTAGGCCATTTTTATACTATAAATATCCTCTTCCAAGAGTTGCATTTTACACTTTTATTCCGTTTTATAATTATATATAAAACAATCATCTAGATTTAATTTTCTTTGTACTTGTTTCAATGGTCACTGATGTGACTCTCACATCCCACAGCTCTGTATTTAGATTCATTCACTGCCAGTTAAATCAGGTCTTCGAGGGCTTTGTTGAGAGGGTTATAACAGTGAGTTGCACATCTAAGAACATTTCTTCCACTACCCTTTCACTTAAACAACTTCCTAAATACAGGTTTCTTAGAGGGTAGTCTTTTTCCCTTGAAGCTCTTCTGGTACCATGTTATTTCTCCCGCCATTAGGCATTGCAGAGGAAAATATTGAATGCAGTTCAATTTCTGCTCCTGTGGGGTCAACATGCTTTTCTGTCCAAATGCCTCTTGGAATATTTTTCTTGATCTTCAGTTCACGAAGGTAGACGAAGGTAGGTCTAATAAGTGTTGGTGTCTTTCAAGAAATTTGCTTGATTCTTTGCAAGCCTTTTAGATGTTCAGACTTAGGTTCTTGTCTGTCCATTAGTTCTTGTAAAAATTTCTAAATGTCTAGAATAGATAATAATCATAGATCACAATGAAATATTCATATTAACAATAACAATAGCAACAATTAAAATAGTTCATTTAATTTGGTTTTCCCCCACCCCATGTCATCCTAAAAGCAGGATTACAAAGACTTAAGTGTAATCAGTATATTTGCCATATGATTTCACAAGCAGGGAAGAGACAAGCAGAAAGGATAAATGCCTACACAGTATATGATATTAGCTCATTACCCTTGTGGGTAGCTCAATCAATCCTGACAGAGACCATCTGAGAAGCCCTCTAGAATGCACCTCCAATGGGAAGACAGGAGGCAGGGCATTTACATACAACTACAGTACGCCCCCATTTCCTATCTGCATCTAGGCACAAGGTGATAAAATTCTTGATGCTTTGGACATGGCCCTGTAGGCTCTTGAGGTGGAATCGGGGATCAGGGAGGCCACGGATATTCTCTAGAACTGTCTTCCAGAGCTGCAGTTAAAGTCAAAGGGGGGAAGGGGACAGTAGAGCTAGACACCAATAGTATCTGATACTACAGCCAACCTTTCCTCAGCTCTTCTGATGTGCTAGGCAGTGGTCAAAGCACTGTGCATGAATTAACTCCTTTATTCCTTATGATAACCTGATGAGGCAGGTGGAGAACAATTTGTTTTTAAGTTGTCTTTATACAGACTCTTCTGACTTATTATCCCTTTTTCAAAAGAGGTCCTAGGGCCCCTAGACCCCTTGGACAGTTTTTGTTACTTCCCAGTCCTGCCTAGATTATATTATTGATCATCTGAAACATTCTTTCTTCATCACCTGCAGCTTCACGTACCACTGTTCTTTCACTAAACCCACGCAGCAAGACTATAATCCCATAATCTGCCTCCTCAGCTCCATTGCTGAGCTGCTAAACATTATGAAAAAAATGTCAATGAACAATTGTCATTTCCAGACTCCAAGTTCAACTGGACATTCAGGATGATCCAAGATACCATTCTCTTTTCCTCAGGCAGCTTTGTCTCCTATTTCCATTAGCAATCTACAAAACATTTACACCTAACTCATGCCCTCCACCAAAACTTAACTTTCCACTTTAAAAACTTTGCCTCCTACTTCACCAAGAAAACTGAGACCATCAACCTCAACTGTTAGATTTACAGCAAATCACATTCAACCCCCAGATTAAAGGAATGATCTGACTCTCCTCTTTATCAAATTCAACTTCCCTCTCCTCCATATTCGTGATTGCGTCTCCTCTCTGTTCTAGCTGATCTCCTATATCAATTATCTATTCTTATCTCATATTATCACCCTCTCCCTATTTTCTCCTCCTATTTTTTCAATATGCTCAGTTTTCTCTTATGCTTATAAAATCCCTTTCTTGACACAGAGTCTACCTTCTATATATATATATATCATCCTAACTCTCTTCTCTTTTCAGCCTGATTTTTGAAAATATAATCTATATTTAAACATCATATAGATCTGACCTTTGATCTGTGCATTCCACTGAAATTGCTCTCAATGCATATCTCTATATTGCTAGATCTCGAAATGCAAATTTCTCTTGGCTTCAATGACACAAACCTTTCCTGGTTTTCTTTCTACATCATTGATTATTCCTCCTCCTCAGGATCCCTTGCTGGTTCCTTCCTTGTCCAACTTCTAAATATTGGAGGGGCCTTAGCCCTTGATTCTCAGGTGAGGGGTATCTTCTAAATTCTAAGCACGGATATAACTATAGCAGTATTCATACAGTTGACCCTTGAACAATCTGGGGGCTAGAGGTCCCAACCACCCACACACAGCCAAAAATCCATGTATAACTTGACTCCCCCAAAACTTAACTACTAATAATCTACTGTTGAGCAGAAGCCTTTCAGATGACATAAACAGTCAATTAACACATGTTTTATATGTTACATGTGTACTATATTCTTACAATAAAGTAGGTTAGAGAAAAAAGTTATCAAGAAAAGCTTAAGGAAGATAAAATATATTTACTGTTTATTAAGTGGAAGTGAATTATCATGAAGATCTTCATCCTTGTTATCTTCATGTTAAGTAGGCTGAGGAGGAAGAGGAGGGTTTGGTCTTGCTGTTTCAGGAGTAGTAGAGGCAGAAGAAAATCCCATATGAGTGGGCCTGTGCTGTTCAAACCTGTATTGCTCAAGGGTTGACTGTACTGACTTTTTACTACAAACACACCAGAATTCATTTTTCTAAATGAATGTTTTCACCATTTTACACACTTGCTAATCTTCCTCAGTTAGTAAAGTACTAAGAATCACCTTCAGAAACACCCACAAAGCACACAAGAAAAACATTGTCTGCTGTAACAGCACATTTTCTTAAGAACAAAAATCATGTTATCTACTTTATTTACTAGACTTAGCTTGAAATGATTTTGTGGGCTTTCAAAACTCAAACCCACCCTTAAAAGATTAAAATCTCCCATCATCAATGTTATTCCATAGAATGGACCATAGCCTCTGAAGTTCACAAAGAGTTTCAGTAATTTTCTGGACAAGTAAATGGTTTTAAAATATGTGAACAATAATTGGAGGACAGTTCTATCAGATATTTTAATATATGGACTTTTAAAGTCCCCATGAAAAAATCTTAAAAATATGTCACATCTTGTGGTATCACAACCTACAACTAACGTAGTGCCAGAGCCCAGAAAGTGATCAATAAATTTGTGTTAAATAAGGTCATTGTATTAATTTTGAATCCTTCCTTGTATAGAATTTGTGGAAGACACTGGGTTGGGAGAACAGATTAGTTTTAAAGGTATGTTAAATTAAATTAAGTATAAACTAAAGCAAACTGCAGCCTAAGTGTGTAAACAGGTTGGAACCTAACTTAAGAGCATATTCTTGTAACAAGTTGCTGAGTCTCAGCCAATCACAGACTGCCAACTGATCAGCTCATAGTCACATGAGGCAAATACTTTATCACACCATGTCGAAATAAGGTATAGCATAAGCTGTAACAAAGCAATCAAGCTATTTCTGTATGACCTTTCCTTTTTCTCTTTACAAATACTGCCTACTCACTTGTGGGCTGTACTGCTGGGTGGAGCTCTCTGAACCTCTGCCGGTTCTGAGTGCTGCCCAATTCATAAATTGTTCTTTGCTTGAGTAAACTGTCTTGAATTTAATTTGTCTACAGTTTTTCCTTTAACAGTTTGTCGTTAGAAGTGGGACTGGAAGTAGACCTCCAGCAAACTCCAGGAGCGCTCAGTGACCAAGTGAAGTATTCACAGGGCTCACTGTGACCACTGATCTGTCTCAGCAACTGGGGTCATGGAAGAGTTGTCTGTCTCTCCAGTTGGAGCTCCACAAACCTGGGTTTTGATCTCTTTCAGAAGAATTTATTTGAGCATTTTAAGTGTAGACTATGTTTGAAAGTTGCCATAGAAACAGAACTGGGTTCTGTAGCAAGTCCTCAGGCTTCCAACTAGGTCAGACAGAAACTGAATTAGGTTCATTAGGTAAGTAATTCCCTACTTAAAGATAGGGAATCATGGGTTGGTCTGGATAAAAGGAGCCAGAACTTCTCTATCTGGAATTCCAGCCAATTTCACGTATAAGAACTATGGGCCTAGAACCTGGAGAAACATGTGAGCCTTACCACAGGTAACTTAGAGTTACAGTGGCCACAGTGGGGAATAATGCTTACAAAAGACAAGCAGGCACATACCTTTAGAGTTACAACAGCTACAGAGACCAAGAGGACCTCCTCATACATATTTTAAGCCCAAACAGAGAAATAGAAAAATCCTATACTAAAGTACCCTATGCCCCAAGATGTCTGTCCTTATTGTAAATAGCCAGGCCATTGAAAAATAAATAGTCCACATTTATACCAGTTATATGATGTACCCATTCCCTTTGGCCTGGACTATTTCCCCATTAGAGGTATTCACTCAAGGACTTCACTCCTGGGACGATGATCAACCAATATCTCAGAGAGAAAAAGTAATATTCCTGTGGTGAGGTTTTTCAAATCAAGTTCAAAAGATCCCTCTTTTGATCCTGTCTAATTGACACTTGAATCATGAAAATATATGAACTAGTCCTCTCTCTTCTCATTTTGATCCTGCTTCTCCAACGGAAACCTGTCAGCTGAAGCCCCTCCTCTTAAATACCTACTGACCATATGGTTTGCCAAATCTGTCTACCTCTTTCCCATTGTCATTGTCTTTGCTATGCTCTAAAATGCTTTACTGAAGAAAAATACACAACTAATTGGTCCATCAGTCAATCTTGAAACCAAACAAACATAAAAAGGATGAACCAATCTCTGACCATAAAACAAGATTAGAAGTATCCACGCTTTACTACCTAATGAGTACAACGTTTACTATTCAGATGATGGGTTCTCTAAAAGTCCAGATTTCCCCACTATACAATATATGCATTTAAGTAAGAAACCTGTACTTGTACCCCCTAAATGAGAGAAAGAAAGAAAAAAGAACAAAAGAAAGAAAAAGAACAAATAGAAAGAAAGAAGACAAAAGACAGAAAGAGAAAGAAAGAAAGAAGAAAAAAGAAAGAAAGAGAGAGAGAGAAAGAAAGAAAGAAAGGAGAAAGAAAGAAAGAAAAAGAAAGAAAGGAAGAAAGGAAGAAAGGAAGAAAGGAAGAAAGGAAGAAAGAAAGAAAGAAAGAGAGAAAGAAAGAAAGAAAGAAAGAAAGAAAGAAAGAAAGAAAGAAAGAAAGAAAGAAAGAGACAGAAAGAAAGAAAAAGAAAGAGAGAAAGGAAGGAAGGGAAGGAAGGGAAGAAGTGAGAAACGGAAAGAAAAAGAAAGAAGAAAACAAAGAAAAGAAAGACACAAAGAAGGAAGGAAGGGAAGGGAAAGGAAGGGAGAAAAGGAAGGAAAGGAAGGAGAGGAAGGAAGGAAGGGAAGGGAGAAAAGGAGGAAAGGAAGGAAAGGAAGGAGGGAGAGATGGAGGGAAGAAGGGAAAGAAGGAAGGAAGGAAGGAAGGAAGGAAGGAAGGAAGGAAGGAAGG